CCACAGGCCCTTTCTACTCCTGTAAAGAACACAGTAAGGGATGCTAAAATGTATTTTCGTCCCTCTGGTGGCTGTTGTAAAAATAAACAATTTTTGTTTTACATAAAAAGCACTATCAAATATTCATTATTTGTAATTATTACTAAATAATAATATAATAACACATGTAAGCAGAAGAAAATGCAGTAAATTAAATACTAATGATCTGTATGCCTCAGTTAAACCTACTGGTGTAATATTCCCATTACCTTGATTTTGACAAGGTCCACAGTGCATTCTTCAAATTCCAGTTATTAGTAAAACCTTTTAATACATCTAACAATCTAGCAAATTAAAATAACATAAAGTGCTCATGGTGCATTAATCATGCCCATCTACAAATTTCATCTCTTATTATTGAGGAGAATACAGGGAGTTACAGCTGCTGCAAATGATGATGATGATGATGATGATGATGATGATGATGATGATTGATGATGATGATGATGATGATGATGATGATGAGCCTTCACAGACTTGCTTGAAATGTTGAGGGCACTGGGTGATTCTTGAATAAGAAAAAATCATCATGTGCTCTATGTGTGATTCTGTTGGATATGCTGAATTTCAAACTGACTAGAGATATTCTGAGAGTTCATAATTTATATGCAAACACATCCACATTAAATGTAATCCTAGACTGTACTCCTTAAAACGTTACTTTTCAAAGATGTGCAGAAACACTCTCAAAGGCATGAAATTCTGAACCTGAATTAACTGACAGCACAAATAAAGAGGAGTTTTGTTTCAATGGAGTTTTCAGGGTGCTGCAATTGGGGAAATCTACTGAAACAAGTTATTCACAATGGTCCTTTAGCCCACAGATGTTCTGAAACAGGATCTGTGACTCACCAGACCATTTATGGATCCAAGCTTCTCCTCCTGCTATTAAATCTGCTCTTTCTAGATATGGATAAGAATCTCAGAAAACTTAGGAATTGGGCAGCTACGTCTTCCGTGCAACAACTACGTTCAACTATGTGCAGTCCTGCTGCATAGCACTTCTCACTTCGGCAAATTATAAGCACATGTGCACATAGGCTTAACAATATATTTCCTGGTTCAACATTACGTGACAGTCATATCTCAAAGGTGCAAAGTTGTTTTGCAAAATAGGATTACAGTGATGGGTTAGGTTGATGTTTTGTAAATTTGTTCAGAAATGTGTGCATCACTGTGAAATGTTGATTAATTCTTAGCAACTTGTAACTTTACTTGACATTGCTAGCTGTGACGTTTTTCTGTTTATACTGCTAGTCAGATAACTTATTTCCTCAAAAAAATAAAATTAAAAAATCACTCCTTCCTAGTAGAGAAAGCAAATATCACCCAAAGGTGAGACTTGTCAATCATAGCTTCATTTACGATAAATACTCATGTTAACTGGATGTGAATTATCCTTTTAAAACATAATTTGGTGAACTGAACAGGATTCTAGCGCTGATAGGAGTTGCAGACATCCTGCTAGGTTACAGATGTAGAAAAGCTCACTTTCAGTGCCTCTTATCTGGACAGTGCAGCTTTCAGAGGCATTTGTGCCTTCTGGACCCAGAGACATAAAGTTGCATAAATACTCCAGCTTCAGTGCTCCAAGGTAGACTAAGGAGATTAATGGACTTTTTAAAAAGGGAAACCGACTGACTGCTCTTTTTAGGGAGAAAGAAAATTTATTTCCCCCACCCCCAAACTAATAGAAAATGAAAGAACAAGAGAAACTCTGTAACTATGTTGGTTATGTTAATTCAAGCACTTCATCAAATATGATTTAACTCTACTGTTCAGGCACTTGAATGTAAGACAATTATTTTTCTCTCTTATCTACATAAAGAGATCTCTTTTATGCTACTGGAAAGTGGTGTAGACCCTAAAAGCTTCTTCTGAGATACACAGGCCAGGAATTTCACGGCAAGCTAGCACTCTCCTGGCTCGATGTCCCAACAGAATCTGAGAGCACAGTAGTTTGCACAAGTTGACAATAATCTCATTGACAAGAAAAGAGCAAGAGCAAAGGAAAGTAAGTGTTTAGCCCAAGTGATCTGGCTTGTCCCTTGTCAGGCAGCAGGGCAGAGGTCAAAGCTTTTTCCAAATTGTTGTTTCTCAGTGAATTTCCTTCAATGAGAATCTTCTTGATTTAACAGACTGCGTTCCACTCTCAAAATACATTCATGCAGTAGATGCTGCTCTAGTCATAGCTTTCCCAAATCTACCTGACATTAACAGACTAAATCTACTCATTACCCTGTGCCATGGTTTCCCACTTGGTAACTGTATAGTAACATCCCTCTGTCCTGATCTGAGATCTGCTCATAAGATGCACAGTGAAGGGCATCTGTAAATAACCATGTGTGACTAGTAATCCGCACATAATCATATTGTCTAGGGAAAATGAATTATCAGAAATAATACAGATTATTTCAGCCAAATAAGGTTCTTAATTATATTTATAATTTGACCACTTCATGCACATACAAAATACATCAAACTCATAATGAAAAGAAGCAGACAATGCCCCCCAAATATACAAAGAAGCGTTTTAAATAACATTGTCTGTGTACAAGCACATTCGTGCGTATCCTTCCAGAACATATCGTCACTCTTCCTCTTCTTCCATAGATGTCATAGCACTCTTTGAACAAGACCTTGTAGTTCTGAATTCTCACAGGCATTGCAGCCGTGAAAGTTGTAAGGTGTGAGCTAGAAATTTAAATTTGAAAAGGGAAATAAAAATTTAACGCAATTCTTCACATGTAACTACTAAAGGGATAGGTAGCTAAAAATACACACTCTCATACTAAATCAGGCATCCTGCTTTGCATATCACATGATTTCCACCTGAAATCTCAGAGTTGGACACAAAGTTATATTGGTTCCATCAGGCTAAGATGCTATTATTCCTGTCTAATAGTCCATTAATGGTACATTTGGCACTAGATACTAGCAAATGAATCAGAAAAAGTAAAATACAACTCCCATGGCTGCTGAAAAGAAGTGGACTCCATAATTCACCAGAAAAGGATTTCAGTGGTGTTTTAACAGTTTTCCATCACGGATGCCAACAAGAATTATATAGGGGATTCAGTATAAACCAGGAATACTTGTCCTGTGTATGTTCTTTCTGCCACAGCCTTCAGTACTAGCACTTTCCGTGTAACTATATACAAAGAGAGGATCCTAACTGCAACAAAGTTCCATTAAACTGTCACAGAAAAGTGCATTTATCCAGTCTCCTGTATCAGATCAAAGTCCGCAGCTGCGTGAATTCATGCAAGGCTGCGCAGTGTCCATTCCCATCTCTAAGACAAGCAATCTAGCTAAACCAAGTGCAAACCTTCAGATAAATTGGTTTCCTTAACACAACTGGCTGACAGAAAGGGTTATCTGCTGTTACACTGACACAAATCCTGTTTTCCTCATCCTCTGTTTGCTGACAGTGTGCCCACAGGCTCCTTTCAGACACCGGGGGAGTCTCTGTTCCCAGAGGAACCCAGCAATGCTTGCTGGTCCTGCCAGAAACTGTGAGATCTTCTCACATACATGGGAAGCACAGGGAAACTTGGGAAACACCGGGTCAGCATTGATTGCTGGGTTTGTTACCAAGGCAAACCTAGCAAGTCTTTGTTATCCAGGCTGTGAATTCTCACAAAGTCTAAATTCTGTTTCCTAATTAGAAGTTGAAGCTCAACATGAACCTATTTGTGGCTGGTGAATCCATTGTGTATTTTCTTGGTGACATCAAAATCTGTATCAGCTTGGCTATTTTCCCTGTTAGCATCATGTTCCTATTTGAGGAGTTAACTCATTTGTGATTCATTTGTGTTTATAGTTTCCCTATCTTTTTTTTCCTTTTTTTTTTTTCAATTTCTGACTTTAAAAAAAAATATCCAATTCATATTGTAATACCGGATTTCTCAAGTAGTTAAATACTACCTTTCTTGTATTTTCTGCATCTGGTTTCTCATACTTAAAGAAAGTATTTTTTTCCCCTTTCTTTTAAAAATAAATCTTGAAAGACCTAGATTGTGAGTGACTTAGTTCTTTGATCTCCTCTCTTGGTATCACTCACAAAAGCAGCAAAGCAGCTCTTTTGACCAGAGATCACGTATCAGAAAAAGATTTACCTGTATCAGCCTCTGAAACTATAGAAACACAGCTGCATAATGCCGTTCTTGTTTTTAATCTACGTCCTAACTTTTTATGACTGCATTTGACTCCAAAAGCACCTTAACAACATAAAACGTTACTTACTTTAAATGCTGTCTTTCCAGCATAAATGACTTCCAACACTGTCTTCTAAATCTGTGGATTTAACACATGGAGACTAGAAGTGTGTCCTGAAAACAAACCAGGTGTGGACCTGGGTAGTAATTCTTTTCTATACACATTTCTTCTGAAAATGATAATATCGGATTTTGCTTTGTTTTGCCACAAGAGGGCACTCCCTTAATTCATGTCGTTACTAAGGCAATGCCCATTACTAGCGACAAGATAGCTTCATTTTCTATCTAAACCATTATTCCAACTTTTTATACAGATAAGTTGAAGAATTTCATTCTGTTTGTGTTCTCAGCATGCATTTGTCTTAAATCAAGTTACTAGGCAATATTATTTAGCTGTGAGAGCACACTGTGCTTCATAAATGACTGGTAAGACAAAAAATGGTGGGAAGTAAAAAGGATTTCCCTTCTTTAACTTTAGAAATAGCAGTACACTGTATTAACACAACTTATTGTTCTCAGTGATAAACTCAGACAGGTCACAATCAAAAGGAAAGATCTTAAGACGTGCCACTTTCAGAAACATGAGAAATTTGTGAAACGAAGACAAGATATGTGTTATATTTTTCATCTGCTTGTGAATGTTTAGCTATTTAAATTTGCTTAAATATGCCATCATATGCAATATACAGCGCAAGCATGGTCCACACAGGGAACAGATTCAAGCACTCAAAGTCTGAAGATTGTCACGTCCTCCTTAATGCAAAACTCTGATTGCATTGACCTACTTCGAACCAGATAGTTAAGAAGATTGGGTTTAAAATGCTTCTAAACAGTCATCAGGAGTGTACAGTATAACTTACTATAGCATTTTTGTTTTCAGTTCCAATATTTTATATATATAAACCTGTGTCATTTACCAATATCAAGACTGATTTCTCCCTCTTACTTAAGTCCAAATAAAATTTCACCCAGAAACAGTAGATGGATTTTTGGCCATCAAGAGTCAGCTATGTTCCTGGGCAGCCGGTAATGCTCTGGCCTGATCCTTGCCTTCTTCTCCTGAGGGTTGGCATATTTCCACTTGGATGGAGACATTTTTAGCTTTTTTCTCTTCTTATCTGTACACCACACTTTTTCGCAGTATTCCTCCACCCTCTGGAAGTTGCTATAACCTATTAGTTGAAGAAATTCCTTGTACCATGGCTTTGATGCCTGAGGTATACTGCTTTGCATTGGGCATGGCATTTTATGAGGTATCTCCTCCTCATAGTCTTTACTGAACATTTCATCTACACGTTCTTCCTCGACTACTTCCAGAGTGATTTTTCTGACAGTGTGAACAATGCTGTGTTCCACTGTCTGACAAAAATAGGTCCCTGCATCCAGCCGATGCAGCTTCAAGAATAAGAGGCCAAGGTCCATTTTGATTATTCTATCATCCGTCTTCACCTAAAAATCAAATTGATACAGTTATAGCACACAGACCTTTATTATTACATTAAATTAGTACAATTACTTCTGAATTGTACAAGAGGAAGATTGGGGATCCACAGACCTTTAATACATAGCTTTTAAGTAATAAAAATATTTACTTGAAGTAAAGAAGTTGAGCTGTGGAAGGAAAGCAATCTAGTGAGTCTGACAAGCATGGTAGAACAGATAGTAAAGCAGATAGTTTCTTGTTTTCCCAGAGTGGGTTAGTCAATTGTGACTAAATCACAGAGAGAAATAAGTTTGAAACATGCGAATAAACTATTGGATGGAAAACAAATGGGTATTTGACAGATGATCTGCAATAATTGTCCCTGTGAATGCTTTTATACATTGACAAATGTTTTTGAGGTGACACTCACAGATATTTTTGTACCTAATTGTAGGACCATTACGATGCTAAAGCCTCAATTCTGAGCTTGGTGTTTGAGTTCCCCCTACAGCTCCTGAGAACTAGGTTACTAACTGCAATGTATTTTCAGATGCTGGCAGGGATCACTGAGTTGTCTCATCCAGCCAGCAGAAGCACCCAGGAGAATGGAAACTCCATTTTTCTGTTTAACGATAAGACACCGAATATAAAGCAGAAAAGAAGTACTGGGTGAAGAATGGATTTAGATCAGCCTTGCAGAGAAAGACCTGGGGATTGTGTTGGATAGAAAATTGGACATAAGCTGGCAATGTGCACTTGCAGCCTAGAAAGCCAACCATATCCTGGGCTGCATAACAAGAAGCGTGACCAGCAGGTCAAGGGAGATGATTCTGCCCCTCTACTTCACTCTCATGAGACCCATCTGGAGTACTGCATCCAGCTCTGGGGTCCTCAGCACAAGACAGACATGGAGCTGTTGGAGTGAGCCCAAAGAAGGGCCATGAAGGTGATCAAAGGGCTGGAGGACCTCTCCTGTGGAGACAGGCTGAGAGGGTTGGGGTTGTTCAGCCTGGGGAAGAGAAGGCTCTAGGGAGATCTTATTGCAGCATTTCCTCCTGCAGCATATAAATGGGGCTTATAAGAAAGATGGAGACACTTTTTATCAGGACCTGTCATGATAAGACATGGGGCAATGATTTTAAACCGAAAGAGGAAAGATTTAGATTGTACATAAGGAAGAAATGTTTTACACGGAAGCTGGTAAGACATTGGCACAGGTTTCCCAGAGAAGTTGTGGATGTCCCATCATTGGAAGTGTTCAAAGTTAGGTTGAATGAGGTTTTAAGCAACCTGATCTAGTGAAAGATGTCCCTGCTCATGGCAGAGGGGTTGGACTAGGTGATCTTTGAAGGTCTCTTCAAACCCAAATAGTTTTTTGATTCCATGACTATATTATTCTATGCCCATATTATTCTACCTCTCCCTGCTTGGAATTTTCTTTTTCTAATGACTATACAATTATTCATGAAAAATTGAATAATTTTCAGGGGGAAACATTAAAAAAAAATCATCTTAGTATTATAAAGACATACTGGAAGGTTAGAGCCTGCTCAGATTTACACTCCTGGTGTCCAGTATCTGAGCTACTGAGTATAACAGGATGTGTGTATGGGACATCCTGCCCTCTCACAGTTCACTACCTTTTTTTGAAAAGCCTGATTAATAGTTCTATTGTAAGAATGATTATGCATAGATAAGGATCTTCCAGCTAAATGCCTGAGGAAATACCAAGTGTGAAAATCCATGCAGAGATTTGGAACTTGGACAAAACTTCAGGCAAAAATGTATCTGATGTGGGGATGGCATTAATCTTGCTCGTTTTAGATATTGAAGGTAAAGTGTGCCATCCTTGGTTATTTTTGTATTAAGTGACTTACTAGTAATTTTTCATCTGACCAAATAAAGCTGTCTAGTTAAACATGAGGTGATACCACTGGCTGTAACTGCAGCACCACCTAGTCTGACTAGGTAGCCGCCATCAACTAACTCCCAGGTAGATCTCTTTATTGTGAATTTCCCCATTTACTTTCCGATGAGTCCCATTCCAGAGATCTGCAGATGTCTATGGCTAAGCTGGGGTCTCAAGTTTGCTGTGGAGCCTAGCTGCTAGGCAGTAAGGCAACCATCCTTATCTTCTGGTGGTCTGAGGCTTTTCTCTTTATGTCCTTCCACATACTAAGTGAGGATAGATACACTGATGTGTATCAGAGAAATATTGAGGAATAAACATAGTAACACTTATAAAGCACTTTCATAATAGGGAAATATATGTAAAAAAGACAGAGAATTCACCAACACCCATTTCCAGAAGGTTCTGTAATGTAATGGGTGAGGCAGCAAGAATGAATAGATGCTATGCTAGACTAACACTGAGAGAAATATGTACACATTTCACCTCTGCAATAACATACCAAGAGAAGTGGTGGATTCTCTTTGATTTTGAGATATTAAATCAAGTTTTGCTACATTTCTAACATCTGAGTTCAAGATGCTCAATGCAAACACCAGATGAAATTCTGAGGTCTATTAATTCAAGAGAGCTGATGAACTTAATGATTTCCCTTACACCCATGTACATTTCAGCAACTGATGACAGACCTTTTAATCAAGATGGAATATTACTAAACACTGGCTCTTTTAGTTAGGCTATACGGATATTTACCTCTTCCTTCTTAGTGTCATGCGCTCGCTGCACAAACCAGATTACTTTTGCTTGTAAGGTCCGAGGGATGCACTCCAGAAGGGTGCTGTTGTACTCTATTCCATAAACAAGTCGCTCCTCAGTCTTCTCCAGGACTTCACCTGGAAGGAAATGTTTTAAAAATATGTATTACTGCCAATACTTGCAACACTCCCTATTCAGGATACATTTTCTTTTAAGCATCAAGTTTAATTCAGATCTAACCAGATAGTAACTGAAATGTAGTGTCTGGTGAAAGTCTGACCAGCTAAGTGAATTTTCCCATCATCTCAGGCTCTCACAGGATCTGGCAATTAGATAAATAGAACAAATTTTGCTATGATTCAGCGAAGATTATACACAGAGAAACAGAACTCAGCCTTTCTCACTGCTAATTGCTTGTGCCTGGTCCTTTTGAAAAGTTCCTCTGTTTCGTTTTCAATCAGTGAAACAAGGAGGATTTAATGCATGCTTAAATATAATAAATAATGACATATTTTTAGGGATAAAAATTAAACTCTCAGAAACTATAGATACCCTAACCAATATTATACATATTCATGTTATACACATGTAACATGAATGCATAGCTTTGGCTGAAGGATGTTAATAAACACAAAGTGTATTAAATTAATGAAAACTCAATTCTGCTTTTCCATCCAATAAAACATCTAGAGGAAGATAAGCTAGATGTTACACTGGAGGGTACCACTGGCTTTATTAATAAAATAATCTTACTCCACAGTAATGAGAAATATTATTGAGACAATCAGTTTTATACCTTAAAAAATATAGGGTTTTATATCATTGTGATTTCTCTATTGTATTTCAAACTTATAGTGTAATTAATATTTCATATTGAGATATACTTTTCCAAAATCTACTATATCCTCCAATGGACTCCAATTTTAATGAAGCTTTCTCTGGTAAAGCATTTATCTAATATTTAATATTAGTTATCTAAAATATGATTAATATTAATAGTTTATATAATTTTCCTCTGGTTATCTATCTAGAATAAAGCTTTATATTTATTCTTTTCTCGTATAAATATATTGGATGTTATCCTGCAAAGTACTGAGGATGTCCAGGCAACTGTTTTCTGTCTGTTTTGCCATTCCCACTACCAATGTTTAAAATCATCACTTTCCAAGGTTTAGTCAACAGCATTAGATACAGTAATCTATCATTTTTTAGGCCAAATCTTGATAGTTATCATAAATACATGTTTATGTTCAAACAAGTCCTTGCTAGGGAGCTCCTTCAATTCCCACTTCTGGCTGAGTGTCCTGGCAGTATTTCATGTTCATTTCAGTATGCAGTCCTGTTGTTTCCTATCCCTGCCCCATCTTCCCACTTGCGTTTCCATTAGAAACCCCTGAGATGCATTAGCCACGTTCCTAGTCTGAATGACAGGGCTGCAGGACTACATGAACACTATGGGATGCACCTGACCTGTCAAAGTCATTCTTAGACCTGGATGAAATGAGCTCATCCCCATGACTCTTATTATAGGAATATGCCAGTAAAAACCTCAGGGGAGATCATGGTCTGGCTCATACTCTTGGCAAAGTCTGTGCTTTCTCCTCCAGGTGTTTGCTAGCAATTTGTAAACGTGTGAGTAGATTACCAATGAACTGCTGGCCAAAACACTGCTGCGCTGCATTTCCGTGTCGAACATCTTGTCTGCGGAAACGTCTGGAGGGGAAAAAAAATGAATTGTTTGAGATAACATGTTTAGCTTACAGTTTGTTTGGTTTATGCTAAAGTTGGACTCATTAAAAAGGAGCTAAATCTTGATCCTGAAAAATGTAGCATTTTTGTGAGAAGTATTCATTTACGCATCAGTATTTTCTCTTTACTCAACCTATTGGGAATCACACGTCTGAAAAAAGAAACACTGGTCTGAGGAAGAGGCACAACTACATGTGCAGTTTCTAGATAACTATACTGACATTATAAATACTGAAACAAGATCATTTGAACCAACTGGGCAACATTCAGTTCTATGAAGAGCCAAACGTACCTTCAGCCTGTCTTTGGGTTCCTTCTCCTGGAAGCCAAGGAAATGTTTCTTTTTTAAGTTTAGAACAGCTTGCCATGTATGTGAATGATATTTCTTTTATCCTTCACATACAGGCGACTCACAGGAGGGTTGCAAGAGCAACTCAGCCTTGAATTGCCTTGAGGCCCTATCTTTGCAGAGATGACCCATCGGGAACTGTGTAGATAGCTCAGCTCTGAGTTGTCTGGTAAGCACGAAACTAAACAGGGCAGTGTTGAATAATTCAGAGAATCAAAGAATTCAAAGAAACCTGAGTTGAGCCTTGAAATCCCTCAACAAATAAAATACCTGCCCTGAGTCCAAAACAAACCATTATTCAGTTGCCTAGAAGTAATATAAAGGTAAGCTAGAGTGTTTCAGTTTAGTTTCAGTGGACCCAGACAATGCAAAGATATGTAAAAGACAGAGCATAGAGAAGTGAACATCACCTATGAATAAATAAAAATAAAGGGAAACACTGCTAAGGCAAACACCCCAGGTGGAATTACCCACTCAGGCCCACTCCTGCCCACCGTCATGGAAATCATGGAATAAAATGCTAAGATTCTGGCTGGAAATTGGGAGTAGCTTCTCCACCATGCAGTCACAGTTGAGGTGCCTCTTCCCCCTTGGTTCGGATGCCAGCTGAGATAGCTTATTGAGAGATCTTTCCTGAATGGGTAAGTGAATATTTGGCAGGCTATAAGTTACAGTTACCTGGTGATTACCTGGTGTAGTCACAGGTGATTGACGAACACATGTGTAACATTTTGAATTGCTTGCGAGTTGTGATAGTGTGTTCCATGAAGCACCGATGAGTTGTAATAGAGAATTTTGTGAGTTGCCTGTGAGTTGTGAATTGCCTGTGGGCCGTAATAGTGAATTTTATGGCTGGGCTGTGTGTTTTGGATTGTTCTGTGGGCTGCATTCTGAGAATCTCTTGTGGTTGTAATAGTGTGTTTTGTGACTCTGTTGTGGTTGCAATGGTACATTTCATGAATCTCTTGAGGTTGTAATAATGTAGTCTTGTTTTTAAACTGCAATGGTGCATTTCTCCATTGTATCCATAAAACTTGCAATAATGACATATCGAATCTGCACATATTGTTCAAATAAATTGTTTGTTTGAACCCTGTAGTCAAGTCTCTTTTCATCACAAATAGGGAAACAGACACATTCATGACTTGCTCATGCATAGAAAGTGAATTGGTGGGAGAACAGTGGTCAGAACCTGGTAGCCCTGAGTGTGGCCTGGAAATAATGCAGTTGCTTCTGAGACAAAATTGCTGTGAGTTTTGGGCTCTGGGGTTTTTATATATGTTTACAGAAAAATAATGAAAACCTTAATTGCACAGTGCATTTCCAGAAGAATTGTGTTTTTATATGGCTTTTTTTTTCTCTGAGTGTTCTGGTAAATAAAATTAAGATTGCTTACTAGGGAAATGAAAGAGCATATTGGAATGTCATATCTTGCCAAATGTAGTATTTCCCACAAACTGAAATTCAGTTATACTAAGGGTACCTTTCCTATATTTGCATAGAGTAATTCTACACAGTATTACCAATGCCATACATAAGAGGTTAACAGAAATATGCAATGTAGCAAATCTTGCACGGCAGATATGTGTACAGCATTAGTCATATATGATAGAAACAAGGAAAGGCAAGTGGTTTTCTTGTTCTTTGCATTTGCTACTTAAACGGTGCTTTTCTCCAGTGCTATGTGAAAGAACAAGCAGAATTTTTATTTGGCACAAATTGAATTTACTTAAAATATGTAGCTTTACACTATGTAACGATCTTGCCCATAAATGTTACTCATCACTGTATTTCTAAACTGGCAGAAAACAGTGATTATCTTCTGAGTTCTGTCACCTGTATGGACTTCTGATCCAGTGGTGCTGGTGGACCAGGAGGACAGCTTTAAGCTGTACTTCTATTTGGAGCAGAACCAATGCTTTTCCATTGTTGATCCAAGGGAATCTTCAAATTCAGTGGGGACTACCTTGGACCTTTTAGGCAGAAACGCTAAAAATATGCTGTCCTGCTTTCACTGGGATAGAATCAATTTTCTGTTCAGGAAAGAAGACTACAGTACTTGATTTCATGGGAATAAAGTTGACAAGACACTTTGGTTTAGTTTTTGACTGGCACTGGTATGCAGTGATCAAGGCCTTTAGTACTTTTGGGTTTGTCAGATGCGAAAGCTGGGGGGAGGGAAAACCAGGGCAGCTGACTCCAAGCTAATCCCAATTGGCTGACAAAATTAATTCATACCATAGATGTCATGCTCAGTATAAATGGGGGAGTTTGCTGGGGTTGGCCCTCTTTTCTTGAGGGCTGCTCTTCCAGGAGGGTCTTGCCTGTCATTTTACTTTTCTGGCCTACTCCCCAGCTCATTGTGACCATCACAGCTTGTGACCACCACATTGGCCGAGTATAACTCGATTTACTTTATAGTAATACTGTTGTTAATACTTTTATTATTATTAATAGTTTTTATTACTATTATTTTATTTCATCTGTTTTTATTTTAACCTACAGGTCTCTTTTCCTTTTCCCAATTCCCCTCCTCAGGTGGGGACAAGTCATCAGGTGATAGAACAACTGTCTAAACGATGAAATACATGCATATTATTAAACAAAAACTGAGATTCTGAGACAGCAACAGGGCTTTATCATGGCCTGGGTGTTCTCACTGTAATATATAGATGCTGCAGCCGTGTTTACTGATAACTCTGCAAAGCGTTAGTGATGAATAATGCTGCCACCAGCCTTGCATATGTTTGTATACAGATTATTCAGAAAAAACATTCCCTTGCACAAATATAAATAAATACTATAGCCTGGAAAAAAAAAAACAACCAAACAAACAAGAAAACTCTGCAGCTGTAAGGCCCAGCAGCCTTGTATAGCAAGAACAGGACAATTAGCAGGCACATATTATTAACTCTTCAGTTCCTGAAGATCATTGTAGAGCTAAAAAAATCCTAGTCCTGTAAAACAGGTTATTTCTCCAGTTATTAGAACCATTCAAGAAAAGAAATGTTTGCTTGATGGAATTTTACTGTTGTGAGTGTGAAAACTGAGGAAGATACATTTACCAGCACCTTTACTTGCTACTTTTTTGAAGAGAAGAAAAAAATGGGAAGAGGTGCTGAAAGAGAGGGAGATGCTGAGAGATAAACTTATTTCACAAGTACCGACATAGGCCTGCTATTTGCTATTTTTTCTTAGTAATAATTTCAATCAGAATTCTGTGAATAATAAAGTTCCAGACAATTCCTGTGATAAACTACTATAAGGAACAATTTTCAGTGACTAGCAAATGTACTGAATATATGGAAGTGTCTTTTGCAATATATAACTTCATGGATTTAGATTTCAGTCTGTAACTCTGTGCTTTCAGTAACTTAGTAAAAATGATCTGCAAGAAAGCCATACAGTCATCATCATCACCATCACCTTCATATTTCTTTATCAATTCCCAGGGACAGATGAAGCAAAGTCAAAAAGGCTCAGCGAGACAAGACATCATTGCAGTTTACATAGGTAAATTGTTAGGCTGACTTTGAGATTGGTGAACCAAACATTACAACTGAGTGACGTCTGGATTAGCACTGGGATTTGGCTGCAAGGTGAAGGCAGCCCCTTAACCCTGACCCCCAAACCACACAGCAGCCATTGTCCATGGGGCCCCCTCCAGCCCGGGTGTTCGATCACAGGGAGTCAGGGAGGAAGGCCAGGAGGC